TTTAAATCTCAGACCTTAAGCTCACAGCCCTTCAATATCTCTCTGCCCACACCAGCGACTTTCTCTAGTTAGGCCTCTAACCCTGTTTCTGTAGCGTTGCTAGCTCCCCAGTATCTTTCCTTTTTAAAAACTAATTAAAAAGTAAATTTAAGATGCATTCTCGTAATTACCCCCACCCTGCTACTACCTCCGTCCTTACCCTTAGAAACCTTATTGTTTCCCGTTGAATAAGACCTAAGAGATGGGTCTTAACCTGATGACATTCCAGTTAGATCTTGGGGACCTGGCCTGCCCTCTGCCAACCTGCCTGCTGGCCCAGGTGAGAGGAGGAAGAGGGAGCTGGAGAGAAATCCAGATGGCAGCGTAACTAGGCGTTATGTCTCAGGTGGACTTCCTGACCCTGGAGGATGGAAGGTGGGGAGATGAATTGGTTGAAAACAATCACCTGGGAGTTTAGGAATCTTAAGATCCTCACAACCTGGGCGTAGGGAGACAGCAAGATTTCTCCGTCTGGACACTTTTGACATTTTGGGCTGGATCATTCTTAGTACTGGGGACTGTCCTGTGCATGATAGGATGTTTAGCAGTGTCCCTGGCCCACCCTAGTTATCACACCCAAAAATGTCTCCAGACATTGCCAAGTGCCTGCCAGGGGGGCAGAAGCACCCCAAGCTGAGCGCCAGCGCTCTAGAATCAACACATTTTTCTCTTGAGTGATTTTTATCCCCTACCACACCCCATCCCATTATTCATCCTAAGCCTGAGCCTGGATGAACTAGGCCCCCTGTAAACTAGGCTTAATCGTCTCCAACAATTTTTTACTCCTTGTGTTGCTTGGGCTTGCATGGGTTGCTTGTGATGGACATGCTTCTCCCTTGGTCGGTGGAGGAGGGGTTCCTGCAGTGGTGGGGTTGGGGAAGGGAGGGAGAGAAAAGCAGTAGAGCCATAGACACCCCAGCGCTGTTCTCCCCGAACTTGAAGCTCTGTTTCTGTGCCCTAGTCCTGGAACCAGACACAAATAAGACTCAGGGAGTTTTGTCTGAAGAACGCCCTACCTGGCCGAAGAGCCTGCTTTAGGTGGGGAAGTAGTGGAGGAGCAGGGTCTTCAGGCACTTTCCGTTTTCTCAGGTGTGTTTTGTCCTGCCCCCTTCCTCTAAATTTTTCCAAGGTCTAAGATTGCTCATAGAGATAACATTCCCAATCTACTCTGTGCCAGTCAAGCTAGTTGCTCTGAAAGTAGTCCATCTTGTTGCCCCCAAAGTAGCTCAATAGCATGAGGGTTTTACTAGGTCTGAAGGGTTGACGGGATCGGGTAGGAAGATGGAGGCTCCTGGAATCTGGTCGCCCTGATCTTTTAGCCTCATTCTTAGGCCAGTTCTTTGGGCACGATCTTTTCTTTGGTTCTCTCTCTTTTAATTACCTTCTCCTATGTGTGTGCTGCCATCACTTTAACAATATTTAGAGTGATGGGAATGGGTTTGAGAGTCGTAATTTATATTGAAAATTTGTTGGACTTCTAAATATACTTTTCAAATAAAAAGTTGAAGCAAAATAGTCACCGAGTAATCACTACAGGTGCATATTGGAGTAAACGACAGATACGGCTGATGAAGGGTAACTCCTCGGAAGTGGTTGGTGTGGGATTTTGTACCATTGTCCTTTCTGAGGAGGAGAGAAGGCGAGACCACCATCATCTAAGGGCTCAACTCCTGCTGAGATTTTTTTCAAAAGAAGGACTTGTTTAAAAAAACAACTCTGGAAATAAGGAAGTGAACAACCACCATTTTATCCTGGGGGACAGGAGAAGCCCAAGCCAGATGCTGCTAGCTACCCAGTTCTGTTTCACAAAATTTTTGGTCTCTCCTCCCTCAGATACCTCTGTAAAAAGACACAAGACCAAACAATTTTTTTTTTCTAGTTTTGTTTTTCTGTACTAAAAATACCCAGTGGGTGCTGGGATTGAAAGGGGAGGAGAGGTTGACATGCTGACACCTCTTCTTGCAGATCAAGTGGCCATTACCTCTGGTTTCTGTCTATCTGGGTAAGGAGACAAAATAGAGAAAAGGGAGAATATTATAATGACATCTATTTCGTTTTTCCTTGCTTCTCCCTCTGCCCACAAACCCTCATTCCCTCAACACTACTGCCCCCTATGGATGCTTTTTTATATTGAATGATGGCTTTGGACACACAAGGAGAGACACAAAAACCATGAAAATGACCATGCATACATTTTATTGTCCTTCCTCTCTCCCCAAAGGTCCTGTCATTCTGTCAACTGAGAATATTTTAGCAGGTCAACGAGAGCCTTCGGTGGTTCTTTCGGTAAAGCAGAGGCCTGTTCTTCCTTAACCGTTTGGCTGCTGACGTATTTTTTCGGACATATATGCCAAAACTGCGGCACTAATTGCGCATGTATGGGAAAAAATGTAAAACACTTTTTATACAAATTATAGTGTTTTGGAGCAGCATTATTACACTCTCCGCAGTCTTGGCATAAAAAAAAACACAGGAGCGCTATCGCGCTCTTCGCATTTTTGGAGTAACATAAGAAGAGCGCAATAGCGCTCCTTAGCAGTCAAACGGTTAAGAATTCTTAGGTTGCTGAGGATAATACCAGAACAATTCTTGGGGATAGTGATGGTTAAGAGCATTGACACTAGAGTCAAATCTGGTCTAAGTTCTACTGTAACTCTGCCACTTAATGGCTTAATAAACCCCCATTTCTTCAGTTGTAAAGTGGGGATAATAATACCTCATAGGCTGCTGCAGGATTGATCCAGGTAAAGTGCATATAGCAAGACCTCAAATATTGGCTGTTGTTGCTCTTAAACTGCATTAATAAGCTGAAAACTTAATTATCTCCCATGTCCATGAATTATCTGCGTCAAGAATTCTTAACAATTTGGTCAGTTATCATCTAGTGACCAATAATACATGTTGCCTAATGACCAACCAGTTGTTCAAGATGTAACAGGTGGAATCCATGGCCAACAATAACGTGAATAAACCAATGCATATTAGGAATCAGTGACCAGACAGATACGTAGCAGTTCATGCAAGCACCCGGGCTGGTTCAGGACTTTGCAGAACTATCGACAAAATATCCTGGCTCATCACCAAACACTTACCGGTTGCATCTTGGTGAACACTGAAGAGAGGCTGTTCCAAATATCCTCCAGCCCAGCCCTGACCTGCCTCCAAAACAGAAGCGCTGGGCTGGGGCTGGGGCTGGGGATGAGCCTGGGGCTGGGGATGGGCATGGGGGTGGTGGTGGTGGTGGTGGTGGTGGTCTGAGTTTCAGACCAGAGGGCCATGTCCAGGGGGCACTCCTCAAGACGCCGATCACAGCGACATTGCTGGTAGGTGCAAGGCCGGTGCTCTGTGCGGAGCTGGCTCAGTGCCCCAACTCGAAGGCGCCCAGAAAGGCCCTGCAGCCTCCCGGCCCGGGTCCTGCTCATGGTGCCCGACTTGCAGTGGCAGTGCCACGGGCCCCAGGGCATCAGCACCAGCCGCAGGTCCTCGGGAGGTGGCATGGATGAGGGTGAGATGCGAGACCAGCGCCGGGGGCTGGA